CCCCCCAAAATTCCCCCCTAAAATTCCTCCTAAATTCCATTTAAAACCCCCAAATTCCCCCTAAATCCCCAAAATTCTCCCAAAATCCTGAAATTGCCCCGAAAATCCTTTAAAATTTCCAAAATTTCTCCTAAAACCCCCTCAAATCCTCCAAATCCCTCCCCAGGACCCCCAAAATTCTTTCCAAACCCCCGAATCTCTCCCCAGGACCCCCAAAATTCTTTCCAAACCCCCGAATCTCTCCCCAGGACCCCCAAAATTCTTCCCAAAGCCCCAAAATCGCCCGAATTTCCCCCAAATTTCCCCTGCAGGAGACGGGGGATCTCCTTTTGGCCTCCACCTTCGCCGCCTCGGCCGCCTGCAACGGGGTCCTGCTGGCCCAGGTGCTGCTTTTGGGGGGCTCCCGGGACCCCCACCCCAAAAAGGAGTGACCCCAAAATCTCCGGCACCCCAAAAAATAAAACTCAAAAAAAAAATCCCCCCGAAATTGGGATTTTTTTGGGTTTTCCAGGTGAGATTTCGGGGTGATGCGGAGGCTCTGGGAACCCCAAAATCTCACCTGGAATGGCAGCAAAGTGTGATGGGATCCCCGAAACCTTCCTGGGACCCCCCCAAATTCACCCCAAAATTTTTGGGGGTTGTTGTGGCCCAAAATCACCCCAAAATTGGGATTTTTTTTTTTTTTTTTAGGATGAAAAGAGGATTTTGGGGCAATTCCCATGCTCTGGGGACCCTCAAAATCTCACCTGGGTTGATCCCAAATTTTTATGGGAGCCCCTAAAAACCTTCCCGGGATTCCCCCAAAACCTCAGGGACCCCAAAATTCCCCCCCGGGACCCCCAAAAAATCCTTCGGACCAAGGTGGGGGGGGGGCTGCCCCCCCCAAAATGGGAAATGGGCGTGGCCAGAGCGCCCCGCCCTCTGCCCTCAAATAAATTTGGGGTCCCCCCATTCCAGGGGAGTCTCCCCCCCTTTTCTTGGTCGGTAATTAATTAATTATAATCGGTAATTAGCGATAATTAGGGCGGGGGAGGGGCGCGGAGGTGGCGATGGGGTGGGAAAACCCCGCCCTCCATTCACAAACCCCGCCCTCCATTCATAAACCCCGCCCTCCATTCATAAACCCCGCCCTCCACTCATAAACCCCGCCCTCCACTCATAAACCCCGCCCTCCACTCATAAACCCCGCCCTCCACTCATAAACCCCGCCCTCCATTCATAAACCCCGCCCTCCATTCACAAACCCCGCCCTCTA